TTATTTTATTCTTATAAAAATACACTTTATTTTTAAAGGTTCTTTGTGAACTTGTAAGATTCTTTGTGAATTTTTTAGCACTTTGCTTATTCCTCCACACTTTTTCACACGATGCAGTCACTGCCTACTGTTCTAGTAAAGACCTTCATCTGTAAAGGCTACTAACAGTAACAATATCATATTGTTAAAATAATTTAATAAATTGAATTTATAATATTTTACTTATCTATAAATCATTGTCGTAATTATCTTATTAAATACACATTAAATTATAAAAAGATTTTCTAAATTACTTTTTAGCTAACTAGTAATTTAATGAATACATGTCATCACTTTTAGTTATTTATCTTATCTTTCTTATTTGACTTGAAACATGTGTTGAGCATGTAAAAAAATATAATATATTTGAAACCCAAGTAAAATGGTGATAGTACCAATAATACATGAAAATTCTTTTATTATTAAATGAAAACTATTGATAAGCTTTTGCCAATTATGATTTATAATTGAAAAATTAATTTAAAATAAATATTAGTATTTTACATTATAATATACAGTGTGTAACAAAAAAACTGGATATTTTATTTTTGGTTATATTCAATGAATATTTATTTAATTCATATAAAATTTTAAATATATATGCTTGATAATCTAGTGAAAGTATTTAATAGCTTATCTTAATAAAATTTTTCATAATTAATGTTTTTTTATTAAATTTTTTTTTGAAAAATTGATTATAAAAAATTTAAAATACTTTTTTAATTTTTTTTGTTTGTTATTCAATGAATGAATATTTATTTAAATTATATAATATTTTAAATATATATACTTGATAATCTAGTAAACAAATTTACTTAAGATTAATTTGCAAAATAATAATCAAATTTATTTATAATAATTTATTTAAGTTTTCTTATTATTAAAAATTTTTGATTTTAAAAACATAAATTATAAAAAATTTTAATAAGATAAGTGTTCAAGTAGTCTTAAATAAAATTGTTTATCATACTCTCAAGTATATATATTTAAATTTTTATGTTATTTAAATGAATATTTATGGAGAAAATTAAAATATCCGGTTTTTTTTGTTACACACTGTATATACATAAATACATAAAAAATATTTAAAATTAAAAAATACCAGATTTTTTCTTTTAGAAATTGATCTAAAATAACTTGAATTATAATTTGATTATAATAATGAAAAGTTAATACACCAATACCAAAATGTTGTAAAGTTTCTCCAGTTGCAAGTCATCATAAAGTGTCACTAATTTTAAATAATTTGGTGAATCACATAATCCATCATTATTATTAATACTTAATACTGGTATGATTTCTTTTAAAAGCCATTCAAAAGTACTTCTGATAATTATAAAATGTTTTTTAAACACATTATTTTTCCATTGCATATAAATCTTAAAAAATCATTCTGTACTTTTCACTTTTTTTGTTCATATTCGGTAATAATTTGTAAGGTTTGTACAATTCCAGTTAAAATTTCCAAGTTGTCATCATTTGAACTATCGGTAGTACTTGAAGAACTACTACTTTCATATAAAATATCTGTTAATAAGAGTGACTTGTCATCTTAATTAAAAAAATATATCCAATCTTGTTCACATATACCGAACAAGATCCAAGATAAATTATTCATCGATTGATCAATAAATAGTTTAATCGATCTTGTTCACATATATCGAACAAGATAGATTAGAAATTTGGATTACAATTTCGATTTGTGTTACATAAATAAACGAATCCAATCCAAAATTTAACATGAATATACCCAGTCACGTTGTGCTTTCTATTCTAGTGGCAGATACTCAACATTGTCTCGTAAAATTCTTTACTCATGATTAACTTCATAACTAAATTATTTATTATCAAGTACATTGTATCACGATCATTGTTAACGCTAATAAGATTATCGATAAATCACACAGATCATCGTTACATGTTACTTTTTCTCTTGATATTATAACAATAAATATTACATTGACTACAAAAAAATAAACATGGTCTATGATCCGAATTCTCTCTCAAATATATCAGATGTGCAAACTACTCATATTCACTTGGATCTCAGCGTCGATTTTTCGGAAAAGGTATTATCCGGATACGTGGTATTGAATTTTATTACTGTTCGTGAGGATGTATCCGAAATTATTTTAGATACCAGAGATATTGATGTGAAACAGGTGTTGTTTGGTGACAAGCCATTAAAGGTTGGTTAATCTCTTGGAAAGCATATAATTATCTAACGAGAAAAACTGAAAAGCAATGATATTTTTTGACATGCATTATTATAGTCCAATCTTGCACCCCGTGATGAAAAGTTCGGATCTGCTTTGCATATTGAGTTGCCAGAAAGTTTTGCTGAAAATAAACGTATCCAATTGAAAATTGTTTATAATACCTCGCCAACGTGTACTGCGGCTCAATGGTTAGAACCGAGGTAAATACACATGATTAATTGATCTTTATAAGGGTTATTTATATATATTGTATAATTTAGTCAAACCATCGGTAAAAAATATCCGTATTTTTTCACTCAATGCCAAGCCGTAGGTTTATTATTATTATTATTATTATTATTATTATTATTATTATTATTATTATTATTATGTGTTTAATTACGAAATTTACGACAATGGCAATGATTTATTTATTACTTGGCACAATCAGATCCACGCACGATCTCTTTTACCGTGTCAAGATTCCCCGGCTATCAAATTAACATATTCCGCAAACATCCGTTCACCTTACCAAACATTGATGAGCGCCATGACAATAGGCGAAGAAGATGTCGGAAATGGGGCGAAAATCTACAAATTCGAACAAATGACAAAAATCCCTAGTTATTTGATCGCACTAGCAATCGGAAACATTAAAGGGAAAAAAATCGGACCAAGATCAACTGTCTGGACTGAACCTGAAAATCTCGAGGCATCAGCTTGGGAATTCGTAGACACGGAGAAATTTATCGCGACCGGTGAAGATATGTTGACTCCATACGAATGGGGAAAATACGACCTGTTAGTGCTTCCACCTTCTTTTCCATACGGTGGAATGGAGAATCCTTCTTTGACTTTTGTTACACCTACTTTGTTAGCGGGTGATCGATCGTTGGTGGATGTTGTCGCACACGAGATTTCGCATAGTTGGATGGGAAATTTGGTAACTGCTGTTAATTGGGAACATTTTTGGCTGAATGAAGGCTGGACAGTTTTTATAGAACGTAAAATTTTAGGTATGATTTTTAGTTGTTAATTCTAAATTACCCAAAATCATTTTTACCTATTTATCAAAATTCAGCTCGTCTGTATGGAGAAAATGAACGACAATTTCAAGCAATACTTGGATACAGCTTTATGGTGGACAGTATTGAACTCTTTGGAGAGAATAGTCCGTTTACCGTGCTGGTTCCTAAATTGAACAATGTTGACCCCGATGATTGCTTTTCAAATATTCCATATGGTAATCATTTCTTTCCATTTCTTTTGTGATTATATATAATATAATACTAACAATTTATTCATATCATTTGCACGGATATAAATAATAAAAGAAAAAGGATTCAATTTTCTCTATTACATTGAACAAATTGTGGGCGGAACGCAAGTTTTCGAGCCGTACATGAAAGCGCATGTAAAACAATTCAGAGGGAAATCTATCACGACTGATGACTGGAAGGATTACTTGTTCAAATATATGGAAGAGAATCATGGTCCGGAAAAGAAGGAGGCGTTGTTGAAGATTGATTGGGATCGTTGGTTAAATGCGCCTGGATATGTAAGTGTATGATTTCGTAAATAGCTTGGTGAATTATTGGCGAGTACTGATATTATTATTATTATTATTATTATGGCAATAGCCTCCTGTCAAAAATGAATTTGGTCAAACATTATCAAAAGCATGCTCTCAACTTGCCAAAAAGTATATTTATTTCATGAACTAGGAAATATTTTGTTAATATCAATCTTACTTGCTGCTTCTCTTTTAGGTGGGATAATGCTCGGAATAATAATAAATTTGAAGCCTTTTCACCTGATGACATCAAAGACTTTACTAGCAATCAAAAAGGTAAAAATATCAATTTCATTTTCTTTAATTATTTATTTATAATTTAACTTGAATCTTTGATTATTCATAGTTGTGTTTCTGCAACAGCTTCGCGATTGTTCACCATTTCCCCACAAAGCGGTTGAAGCATTAGATAAAATTTACAATTTAACCGATGTGGTGAATTCTGAAATTCGGTTACCGTGGCAGGAACTTTGTTTGAAAACAGAGTACGAACCAATCTTTCCGCACGTTGTCAACTTTATCACGGGACAAGGAAGAATGAAGTTTGTTAGACCGTTGTATAGGTGTGTTTATTTCTGTTAATTCATTTTTATTTTTTATTCGACATCTTAATAATTGTAATTTCCTTAGATTACTGAATAAATGCAAGAATGGCTCAGAATTAGCAAAGAAAACTTTCCTTGAAAATAAATCATTTTATCATCCTATCGCGGCTGCACTGATCGAAAAGGATATAATGACTTAAATAAAGCTAATTTATCATCTCATATTTTTTAATATTAATGGAAGCAATTAAAACCTATTCTTTATAATTACTACATAATTCTGTTAAAAGAAAAATTTCAAATGTCCTTACAATTTCAGCTAATAACTCTGTAGTAATTATAAAATCTTCGTTAATGTTAAATTATTCCGTCTTTTAATAAACAATAACAAGAGTAAAATAACTTTTCCTACATATTAAAACAAATAAAAAAGAAAACTTAGGCTAAATTAGATAATATTCTGCATTACTAATAGGTGAAATTCAATATAAAGATTTCAAATTATGATCGTTCACCACGAAGACGTCTAGCAAGTTGAATATCTTTAGGTTGGATAGTGACACGTTTAGCATGAATAGCGGCCAAGTTAGTGTCTTCGAACAAAGCAACGAGATAAGCCTCAGCGGCTTCTTGTAAGGCACCAATTGCCGAACTTTGGAATCGTAGGTCAGTCTTGAAGTCTTGTGCAATTTCACGAACTAGTCGTTGGAAGGGAAGTTTTCGGATGAGAAGTTCTGTACTTTTTTGGTACCGACGGATTTCTCGAAGAGCTACCGTTCCTGGTCTGTAGCGATGTGGCTAATATGTAAAACGAAAAGGTTAATTTATATAGAATAAAGCAAGCAAATGACAAGAGATGGTAAATAAATTCTTGGTCATTACCTTCTTTACACCACCAGCAGCTGGAGCACTTTTTCGTGCAGCTTTTGTAGCTAGTTGTTTTCTGGGAGCTTTTCCGCCAGTTGATTTACGTGCAGTTTGCTTTGTTCGTGCCATTTTAGGTTATTTATAGTGTAGTTATGTAAAAAGTAGTGTTGTATGTGTGTATATTTAATTTGTGATGAGAATAAAAAGTAAGGGATATCACGTACGGAAATAAAATTTGAGAACCCGTAGTACCCTCGTCCCTTTATATAATGGTTTTTTCTGGACGCGCGACACGAATTTTATGTTTACTACCAGGTATGTTGTTACCAGGAAAGGAAATAAATATATTATATCATACTAATGCCTGTTCTTGGTCGCGTGAGGTAAGGGAAAAACAAAACATAAATCACATGCGTGGCTGATTAAGTATATATCGACGCGTAGACGCACCGAATCAAAACACGTTCCTCGCGTGAGGCTCATCAGTATTTTACTATATACAGGATATAAAACACAAAACACACGCGTTTTTTTGTATTATATACAAAACAAAATTAAATTGACGCGAAACTTGGATCAACTATATAAGCAGCAAAGGTCCCCGTCCCCTTCGTTTTCAAAAATTTCTTTTCTCCTCCTTCTCTCTTCCTCCTCAACTGTTAATATAACAATAACAATACTCTTAAACATACACGAAACCTCTCTCTATTACACATAAAGATAAAACATGTCTGGTCGTGGTAAAGGTGGCAAAGGACTTGGAAAAGGCGGAGCAAAGCGTCATCGTAAAATCCTTCGGGATAACATTCAAGTAATTACTTTTATTTTTAATGTGCAAATTATTTTTTATTTATTTATCCCTTTTTAAAAAAGGGAATTACCAAACCGGCAATTCGTCGTCTGGCTCGTCGAGGTGGTGTCAAACGTATCTCTGGATTGATTTACGAAGAAACCCGTGGCGTATTAAAAGTGTTTCTTGAGAATGTTATTCGTGATGCTGTCACTTACACTGAACATGCTAAACGCAAGACCGTAACGTCACTGGATGTTGGTTAGTGAATTTATTTTTTCTACTCTTACTTTACAATTTATCTTATTCCTTTTAATACTATTCTAGTATACGCACTCAAACGCCAAGGCAGAACTCTCTACGGTTTCGGTGGATAAGAAAACAACCTTAACCAATCAACTAGCATCAATTTATATTAGTAATTTGGGTTTTATAGAAGAATTGGGTGGGAAACAAACATCAAGCGAACATTTGGTACCACTACCATTTCTTTATTTGTAATTTATACTATGAGTATTTCTATTTCAAGCCAGAGAATTATTTAATAACGATAGGACTTCATAACATTAATTGAATTTAACATTTTATGAGAATATCTAAAAGATTTCGCGTGCTTTATGTAACAAATTACAATAAATTTGGTTCGTAAAAGTGACAAGAAATTCAATATTTATCAAAAATTTTACAAGATTCATTTCTGAAATTTTGAATTTTAAAACTTGCACCGCTCAAGTAAAATGAAAATGATCCAGTGTCACGTTTTTTATAATTGGCCAATAAAATAACGAAATTTAATGAACAATGTTAATCACTCCTTTTATGTTATAGAATGCAAATATATTTTTTTATTAATTAAATTAGATAATTGTTAGGGTCGAAATAATGAATAGGAAAGACTCTTTATTTGAACAAAATCAACAACTATATCTTGTTCAGCAATTAAGCGGCGATGTAAAAGAAATTGAGGAGAGAAATGTGATTTCAAGAGAACCCTAAAACTATTGATAGGTTGGAAGCAATTATTGGACTTAGGAGCGGCGGTCTCTGAAGCGCACCGGAAAAAAATTTTTGAAGACCATATTGATTTGGCAGTGACAATGCGTGACATCTTGAACAAGTTTTTTTAAATTGCATCAGATCTTTGTTCTCGGCGTACAATCTTGGGGTACAACAAATATTTGTCGGTTTGGCAGACTTCGTAGAATAATGAATGATGTTGCGCTATTGAATTCTCGAGCACGCAGAAGGGAGACGAGAAGGATGATAATGCCACGGTTGGAGGTCGTTTCGGAGCTGTGTCAGGGACGCCTAACAAGAAACAGACAATTCGGTTGATCAGTTTTCAAATATGTATAACCCAAATTTATAAAACATGTAATAACTTGTCACAAGAATAAATCTTATCCTTGTAAATGCTATTCGTTTGCGTTTTTACGTCTTGAGAAAATTAGCCGCAGACATGGAGGATTTTATGACGATAGAAAGATGTAACCCTCGGAACTGGCAGAGCTCTCTTGTAAAGAATTGTCCTTGTGAAGCACATTGGATCCGTGAGAATCTTCGAGTTGGCTGTGTCACAGAATCCTTAATCAAACACACCGCCAAGAGATTCAAACAAGAAAATATGCCTTGGAAGTACGATCCTGTTGCCATTAGTGACAGTTAATACAGTTAATATTAGGCTTTGTTATTCTTCCTTCACTAAACACCTTTGCATGAGCTCAGCGATCATGATCAAGTAATGGCAATCACGACTATATTAATCGTTATGGCTGTGAAAATAAAAATAATTAAAACGTGGTCGCAAACACGATACGTAAATAGAAACAAGCAAAAAATATTCCATAACGAATTTATTATACTTGTTCTCTTTCACTCTAAAATTCGAAATGACCATTGCAAAAAGCTGGAGTTCACTAAAGCCAGTTAGTTACACGTGATATATAATCCGATCCGGATTGCAATCATGTGACCAAAGTTGAAATAGCCAATAAAAATACTAGTATTGGCTCACCAGTAACAATGAACTTTCAATATTATTTGAATAAATTTACATTATAAGTATTAAGCATAAAATTGATTTTTCAAGATTATTTATTCAAAAATTTGGAATTAGGATATAAAATGAATGGATTTGAATCGGGCTTGCCTAAATCTGAAACCAAATCGAAAAAATATTTTTAGATTTATACTAAATCCAAGTTCAATAAGCAAATCTGAACTTAATTTATTTTAAAACTCAATCAAATTCGATCTGGTTCACTTGATATTATATTTATTAAGTTTAATATTAAACAAATTCATTTTATACTAAGCTTAACACATATTGAATTTGTTTTAGAAATTTATATATTAAAAAATTGACAAGCCTCCAAAAAAATCAATAATCAAACAATATAACAATTATAAAATGATCACAAAGTTAAAAACTTAAATAAAATGAATTAAATAAGTCATAAATAATAAACATATCAATTTATTTGATTATATAATTAATAATTTATTAATTAAACATAGTAATAAACTAAAATAAATAAATAAATATTTTATAATTTGTATGATAATTATATATCAAATTTTATAAACTATTTCTTTTTTAATATTTAAAGTAATAAAAAATTGATCAGTTTTAAATATAAAATATATTATTTTTTAATTTATTTAATCTTATTCTTTTGTACTGTTACCATTCTTATATTGATAAGCAAAGTATAAACTAATTATAATAATTATATAAAAATGATAATAGTAACTATGTGTACTTGAAAGGATTGAATACTAGATAATTGGAAAAAAGTATAAAAAGAAATACTTTTACTAATTGGACAAGTATTTTATAATTCAAAAGTGCAAATAATTTATTAAAATACTATTATTATTTTTTATAAATATTAAGTTCCTGATGTGTTAATCATGTATTTTATTAATGTAAGAGTGAAAAAAATTAAGTTTTTATAGTGAAAGAGACTAAGATTTATTACTAAAAATAGATAACATGTGTTCTTGTTGTGATAAGTTAAAATTATATTCAATAACTTTACTAAGTTTTGTATATTATTTTAGAATTTTAAAAGTTATGATTCAAATAATAATTTTATCAAGCAACTATCTTTCAAGTCAATAACAATAGTTTATTATAAGTGATCTATCTTTTAAAATCAAAAACCAATACAAATATAACTTTACAAGTTATCTGAAGTTTCTATCAAATAAGAGACTTCTTGAGTTATTAATTACTTTTTCTAAGCTAAAATATATGATATATTTATATAAATTACATGTTATAAAATATAACTGATTCTATTATTGTTGTCATTAATTTAATTAAATATGAGTATTATCAGCATTTCTGGCATTAACACAAGTGTTGATGTCATTATTGTCATTGCTAGCATTAATACAAATCTAAGAACCAATAATATCTAATATATAATTATTCAATAAAATAACAATTATCTAAAAATAACTATCCAATAAAAATACTAATAAATATAATCCAATAATAATTAATATATTTCTTATCTAATAAAATTATTCATCAAATGTTATATTATAACAATACAAAAGATGATTTCCACTAGTTGGATAAGTTAAAGTTAAGTAAATAATAAATTAAAGATAATAATAAGCAAAAGATTATTTAGAAGTATTAGTTAACTTTTATACTTTTATTATTTTCAAGATTAATATTAAAATTCTTGTTATTCTATATTAAATTACATCTGTTTAAATATATTTAAATGTAATACAAATCTATATAATGAGTGATATTATTTAAAAATAATTATAAGATTAATTTGAAAAAAGTGAAATAATAAGTATAATACTAATTTAATCTAAGTGATACAATTTAAATTAGAGTGATATTACTACATTAATTAATATTAAATGAAATTAATTTAAAATAGAATAAATTTAGATTCAATAATATTATAATAAAATAAATGATGTGATATTAAAAAGAATTAATTGGTGTTTTAATAAATTATATATAAATTAAATAATTTATAAATAGAAAAATTATAAAAGGAAATATAAATAATTATCAAAATTATGTCACATGATATTTTACATGTGATTCAAAATATCAAATAGTAATAATCTTCTCTACTTAAGAGTTTTACTGCAAAAAACTCAAATAATTATCATGAACTTTAATTTATTCAATTCAATATAGAGCTTTAAATGATCACTATTATGTAAGTTCTTCAAGATTTTTCCATCAAATGTATGCAATTTGTAAGTTTCTTTATTAAATTTATTATAAATATAGAATGGTTCTTTCCAAATTTGTCATAATATCAATATTGAATTTTCATTCATTTCATTAAAACTTTATCTTCAATTTTAAATGCTTGGGTGAGCTTGTTGATCATTTGTTAGATAAAATGATTCAAATTAAGTAGTATTTTGTTTTATTGTTCTATATGCTAATAAAATTATTCTATTTAAATATTCTACTAGATCATTTGTTTGTGGATGATAAGGTGCTAAGAGTTGATATTTTACTTGATATCTTTCTAGAAGTTCTGCAATTAAATCATTAACAAATATTATGCTTCTATTAGAAATAATTTTCTTTGAATATTCATATCTACATATAATATCTTCATGTAAAAATGAAATTATAATTCCAGTGATAGTATCAGATATGGTTCTTGCTTCAGTTTATTTTGTAAAATAATCAATGATAATGTCACAAGTCCTGGGCTCAGGTAAGTAATCTCGTAATATAAATATTTGATCAATATCTATCTCAGTAAGTTAATAATTCAATTCAATTACTTTAGAATCATAATGCTATACAACTTCTTCTATTCTATTAATTTAAAATAGGTAATATTATTACTAATAAATATCTTTTTTATATTTATTTAATGTATTGACAGTTTTATAATGATATAATACTAATATTCTATAGTAACTTGGTTAAGTGTTCAGTAATATATAAAATAAGTATTGTTACTATTTTGATGGGGCTTTCGAAATACTTAAAGGTATTTATAAAATTTAAGGAATATTCAAAGGGAAACTTCCAATGTCTTAACGACAATTCAAAGTCTAATAATA